GTATTAAAATATATCACATAACATCTGTGTCCCCGACCTTCATTTCCTATTGTGTCACCTATAAAGAAATTGTGTCAGGTTTTGTTCCCCTGCCTGTATCCTTGATGTGTACTATTGCACATAAAAGATGCCCCCACAAAACATTTTTTTGGGGGGCATGTTTAATGTGCAATACTGATCCCCCCCTTCCAATTCATATTGCATTTGATAAAAATGTAATAAATACCTGCTTTTCTTCAAAGGTGAGATGACAGGTCGCTGAGGAGATGAGAAGGGCGGCCCCAAACTCGTCTGCCAGACGAAAGCGCTGCTCTCCACCCCTGCTGGCTGGCTGGCTGCCGGAGGAAGATTCGTCCCTCACGGCTCCCTCTCTCCCTGATGTCACTTCCTCGCACTACAGCCGCGGAGGAAATAGAGGAGGGAGGGAGAGTCGAGGAACAGGAGACAGCGCCACCTGGCGTCCGCCGCAAGAAATGCAGGTATGCGGCATTGTAATGTTTGAATCATGTGCCCGGGCGGGAGGTGGCCACAGACCCGGGCACGTGATTCCAAACCCGGGTTGTACGGGTGAAACCCGTACGGGTGGCAACCCTAGTCTCACCTTGTATTATTTTTCACAGCTTAGTCATCTAACTCCCACGGTGTATGTTGTGTTTTCACTATGGGAAGAAGGCAAGCTGGCAGAGGCAGTGTGATGCTTTGGGCAATGTTATGCTGGTAAACCTTATGTCTTGCCATTTATCTGGATGTTGCTTAATTTTTACTAATTGTTACTAATTTTCTTGCAGAGGGGAAGTGTGCCCAACACTCACCCGATCCTCCGAGCCGGCTTGCTCTTAGACTGATCCCTGGAGCCTCTTCCCCTCTCTGCTGCAGCAGTCCAAGATCCCTGAGTCACCATGTTCTATACACTGTGTACAATTGCTGCAGCGAAGGAGGAGATAAGATGGAGGGAGCGCTGTCACAGCCAGCCACATTGGGTGAGTATATATAGATATTTTTTTTTTTAACCTAGGCAAAAATGAGCACTTAAACCTTGCAGTGTGGAGCTAGACCGACTGCAGGGGTTAAGAAAATGTTTACCCGGAGTTGTTCTTTAAAATCTGGTATTTGGGTTTATGCTGCACCCATGTTTTTATAATTGTCTTATGTTAATATTGATTGTTTGATATTGAACACAATAAAAGGCTGTGGATTTTAAATATGGAGTTTAAAGGTAGGATGGCATCTTGAAAAATCCCATTTAGGCCCCATTCACACTAGGGTGCCATTAGGTGCTTTTATATGCATTTGTAATGGTTTTCTAAACACATATACATGCATCTAATGATTTCCAATGGATCCATTCACACCTTTAGAACCCAATTTAACTGCATTTAAGAAAATAGAAGTCAGGTGCATTCAGGAAACAATTTTAGCTTCTAAATGCACCAAAACACATGTAAATGCATGTAAATACAAGACACGTCTATTTGCTGAAATCTCATTGGCTACTTCAATGGACTGTTTCAATGGAACAAGGAGAGATGCATCTAAATTAAGCATCTAGAAGCATTCAAAAGCATCTGACAGGTTTTGCAGACAGATCTCTGCATAAAAACTGCAAGTGGACAGTGTGAATGAGGCCTTACATTTTTATCTGTATTTCCTTCCTTATTCTACCACTCTGCAGCTGTAGTTACTGGCCTCTCAGAAAATGGGCATGTTAACCATTTGCTTTGTCAGGCTGGAAGCCATCTGTTGCGGTTCCTTGCATCTCTGATCTATACGATGTTAGTTTT